GCTGTGGCCGGTCGCTCCGTGTCCCATTCAGGACCCCTCTGGCGTAGGTTGGGTAGGGAGGATGGAAGGTGTCTCCGTAGCCTGGTGGGACGAGAGGGTGAGAAGAGGGGTTCTGCTTCCCTTGGCTTCACATCCCTTCTGGTGAGGGGGGAACCAAACTCATGTATCCTCCTCCGGGAGCATCTGGGGTGGGAAATGTGTTGGTCCTTTCCACCCATCTCTGCCTGGCCTTTGGGGGAAGCTCAACACTGGGCTCATCCCGCTCTGGGACAATGGGGATTTCGAGCCTGTCCCTGTCTGCTTTCATCTGACGGCGCTGAGGCAGCCTGAAAACACCAAACCTCATCAGCAAAGGCCTGAGAACACCAGTTCCCCCGTTGTTTCTGCCCTGGCCCACGCCGTTGGCAGGCTCAGGACCCCCCGGAGAAACGGCTCCGAGGCTGGGGCCGAAGGCTGACGCAGTCGCGCGGGGCTCTGTTCACCCCGGCCCTTCGCCTTCGTTACCGCAATTAAGAGCTGCCTGGCTTGAATAAATTCCTCCGTTGCAGATGAATCGTAACGTCTGTCGGGACCATTACCCCAGTCCCTCCCCGCGCCTGTTTAATTGGGAATTAGGCAGCCTGGAGCCCAAGAGCCGTGACCTCTCCTCGTCCCCTCTGGTTTGCTTCCAAATCCGCCACTTAGCGTGGGCGGCAGTGAGGGCAGCCGGGTCCTCGTCACCCGCCCGGGGTCGAGCAGCCGCTGAGTCCTGGTCCCTGGGGACAAACCAGGCACCGGGGTCCATGTTAATGGGTTGGGAACGGGGCTCAGCATCTGCTCTGTGACATCCCGGGAGGGGAGAACCACCGTCCAGGAGCCCCTGCCACCGGTCTGGGGGTGCCCGGACCCCCATGAGTGGGGTTGGGATGTGTCTTGGGGAGACAAGTGTGGGAAAAAACACCCAATTATCAGCTCCTGGTGCTTTTTGGGACCTTGACACCCCGACGCTCCTGTCAGCCTGGAGTGTCATCCCCGTTGCTGCAGGAGATGTTGGGGTTCACATCCTGCACCCCAGGACAGGCTGAGTGCCAGGGCTGGGCTTTCACAGCCCCATTTCTTCATCCCACAGGTGCCCAGTTTGAGGGTCACCTATCTGTGCTTTCCCAGTGATTTTGGGGTGATCCTGGGTCACCCCCCTCCCCGGGGCTGGGATGCTCGTCACAGGGACCAGGCGCTGGTTAATCCTGCACCCGCTTCGAGGTGCGGGGAGCTGACGTGGGCAGGATGGGTCCCGCTGGCAGAGAGGAGCTCCACCTCCCCGGAGGTGCCACCTCCCTCGGGGACATTATAAAGGACGAGTGTCCCCTGCACTGTGGCCAGATCCCAGCCTGGAGCGAGCCCAGAGCAGGACCCTGCCAGGGTAAGAGAGCTGGGGAGGGTTGGGGTAACGGTACCTCAAGTTTGGGGGGAGATGGTGGAATAACCGGGGCGCCGATCCTGCCCGTCGGTGTCTGGAGGGGGCCAGTTTGGTGAGCGATGGTGGGGAAAAGCAAGACCAGCCCCAGGGGGGTTGTATGAAACTGGGAACACAAACCTTTCCACTCTTGGGGTTTTTTTGGGTAGTTCTCCTTACTTTTTATCATTTTTGATAGATGTAGCTGGAAGCTGCCTGTCGTGCCGATTCCTGAAGGCAACAGGGCCCCAGATCTGCCCCAAAGAGGGGTCTTAGCCAAGAGGTAACACGCTGGTGGCACCTCCCAGGCTGTGACACCGTCCCCAGTCTCCCAGGGCTGGGGGTGCTGGGAGGGTCAGCACCCATGGGTGCTGCTGAGGCTCCCGGGGTGGGATTCAATGGCCAAGTCCCAAAGCCCAGCTCTGCCTGAGCTTCCTTCACTTGGCGCTGTAAGGATGGGGCCAAATCCTGCAAAACCACTGCGATGGGAGCTGAACCCTGTGGGGCTGGATGGGGATCTGGGG